AATGGTAGAACAGGATTCTCAAACTAGGGTGCACAATATTTGGGGTGCATGTTAAATATGCATGTTCCAGGGCTCCAAGCCCCAGATTTGATTCAGATGGTCTATGATACAATGGGGAATTTGCCTTTTTAACACATATCCCAGGGATTACTGATGCAGGCGGTCCGAAGACTGTTTTTTGAGATATTATTTTAAGGCTGATCCCCTGCCTTCCTGTCCTCTAGTCACTTCCTTGGTATGAGATGGGTTACCAGGGCCCAAGCACCCTTGTAGGAACTTGTAGTCAGTGTCCATAAAGATGGACAGGCTGGGGACAAGGTAGTAGTCCTCACCCATCCCCACTCTCATACCCACCTTCCAAGAACACTGCCCTAGGGTCACATTGTCCAAAATGGCAGGTACCCAGTCCCACCCATTACCCATGTGCCTGTGTTAAGGTGGCAGTGGGAGATAAACATCACCTAGATCAGTAAGAGCCCAAGCCTCCTAGACCTAAGTCCTCAGATAGCCTAGAGAGGAAGGACCCGGGTTTCCAACATCCGACGCCATCCCATCCCTTGCATGTTCTCCCCCGGGACCCCCTGTAAGTTAGACCCTGCTCCAGAATTCCCCCAGTTCTCCTCTCTTCAGGTCTACCTTCATCTCAGAGGCCAAATCATTCCTTTCAAAACCCAGATCTGCCCATGTCACTCCCTTACTTAAGATCCGTCCATGACTTCCCCAAGACCCTTCGTACCCTGCCTTCTTGCCCCTCCCCATGTTCCCAGATTCCAGCTGTATCAGGGCCCTGCAAATCCCTGAGTCACCCTGCTTGCTCATGCTTCCGGGCCCTTGAACATACCGTACTTGTGCCTGAAGTACCCTTACTCCCCTTCTTTACTTGGTGAACAGTGGTCATCGTCCTGAGACTCAGACCAGGTCCTCTCTTCTGTGGGCTTCCCCGACTGCCACTCATGCAGAATCTGGGCTGGTTTGATCCCTGCTTTCCTTTCATGAGGCACTGACTGCAGGTACCTGCTTCCTTGCCTGCTTTCCCCTTCACTGGGCACTCCTGAAGGGCATGGGCTGGGATCTATTTGTCTCCGACCCCAGAGCCTGGCTCACATAGCCTGGCACAGAGCAGATGCTCAGTAAAGGCAAGTTGTTTGAAGTGGGCTTTGGAGAGTCTGAGCCCAGGCCCCCCCTACCTCCTTGCCCCTCAGGCTCCTGGCTGGTGCCCCCCGGGATCTTGCTGTGCCTGATGGCTATACCAACCGGACTGGTGCTGTGTACCTGTGCCCACTCACTGCCAACAAGGACGACTGTGAGCGGATGGACATCGGAGAGAAAAGTGAGGGGAAGGGGCTGGGGATCGATGCTGGGTCAGGAGCCTGGTGGAGAGGGTAGCACAGAAAGAAATGGTCTGGAGGAGATAGAAGTTTCACCTGGGCAGTTTCTAGTCCCTTCTTGTCCATCTAAGAGGGAGTCCTAGAGGAGAGTGGGACCACGTGGGATTTGTGGAGCTCAGACTGTGATGGGCTGGGGAGAGGGAATAGGGAGGACTGCACTGCTGGAATGGAGTACCCAAGAGGGACCAACCCCTGCCCTCTGGGGGCTCCAGGCAGTAGGAGGATGAGGTGCCCTGGTTCATGTTCCCTCCCATGCTCACAGGTGACCCTGACCATCACATAATTGAGGACATGTGGCTGGGGGTGACTGTGGCCAGCCAGGGCCCTGCAGGCAGAGTCCTGGTAAGTGGGCGCTTACTGTCAGCACCCCCCTCCTCCAGCCCTCTCCTTCATCTCCCAGGAGCTGTGAAGGAAAGTGTTTGGTACATGAGCTGGGGTCTTGCAGATGTCCATTTCTGTGGCTGTCTGTGTCCCTTGGGTATCCTTCGATCCTTCATTTGGGGGGTTGGGGTGGGGGGGAGTGTCCAGCATAGCCTGGGTCCTGTCTGGATCGCCCACTTCCTCCCTACTCACCCTCACCCTCATTCCTGCAGCGCTCACCCTTCATGGGAACAAGCTGAGGGAACTTCAAGGAGGAAAGGGCAGACGGGGCCTCAGGGCCCTGCAACGTGGTCTTGATCCTTACTGGGAGGCTGGCTGGTGGAAGAAGCATAGCCCTACTGACCCCAGCTCACCCGGATTGGGTTTGGGGCCACTCCCTGCTGACAGTCGTCACCTCCTGCCCACATTGCTCAGTGCCAGCCCCTAGGGTGTCAATTTCTGAGTCCCAGATAGACAAATATTTTTCATTTTTAAATTGATATAAAATTTACATACATCAAGATGTACAGATTTTAAGTGTCAGTGAGTTTTGACCAATTATATACCCGTGTATGTAATTCATTAAAGAAATAGCTTATTTTCATCACTCCAGAAAGTGTGCCCCTTCCAATCGTCACCCCATAGCCAGCACTGCTATGATTTGTCACTTTTGAACACTGTTTTAAGCTCCGAGTTTGCATCAGTTCACTGAAAACACCTTTTGTAGACCCCTGTTATGGATGGTGTGGGTATTAGAACCTGGGTCCTTCAGCATCATCTGCTCACCCATCCATTCATTCAATAAGTTTTTAGTGAGCACCTACTGTATGCCAGTTCTAGGAACTTAGTGGTGATTCAGGTCAGGCTTGGCCCTGTGTGAGTGATGCTCACAACTAAAAGGAACACAGAAAGCAAGCCCACAAGAACTAGGCCTGGATTTTGCCTGGCCCTTGGCTGTTTTAACAAATACCCTATTCTGATTGATTTGCCCAGTAACTACTGAGCACCTCCAGTGTGCCAGGAGAAGCTCCGAGAGAGACAGTGCGAGCAGCCTAGTGCTTAACAGCTCAGACTTCAGAGTTGGGCAGCCTTGGTTTGAACATTCTCTGCCTCTCTAGAAGTGAGATCTTAAGCAGAAACCGTTTCCTTGTGCCTCAGTTTCCCTATCTAAAATGGGAAAAGTAAATGTCCCTACTCCATAGGGTTGTTAAGGAGCTTAAAAGAGTTAATATGTGAAGAGCTTAAAATTGTGACTGGCTTTTAGTAAGTACTCATTAAGTGTTAGCTGCTGCTATTATTTCGTTGTTAAATTATTTTAATGGTGGTCTTTTGGTTAAGAGGGCAAGGTTATCTGGGGACAGCAGAGAAGCAGGTTCCTTAATCTCCTTGATATCTAGCTCCTCCTGGACCTTAGAGCCTGAACCCCACATTCCCTCATCCTTTCCCCTTTCGTTTTGCCAAGATCTCTGAACCACTCTCAAATCAGTACCTTCTGGCCTTCCAAAAAGTGTTTCAAACCTTCAGAGCAGATTTCTGAGCTCTAGACAGGAGCTGCAGGTCGAGGCATCACTGTGGGAAGAAAAGCCAGGAGGCCCCTTTCGGCTCCTCCCCCACAAAGCCAGAGGTGCACAGGGCTAAGGAGATGGCTGGCCCTGGGTCCCTGCTGCAGACTCAGGCTGTGTGCTGGGGTGGGGTCCCCAGGTCTGTGCCCACCGCTACACCCAGGTGCTGTGGTCGGGGCTGGAGGACCAGCGGCGCATGGTGGGCAAGTGCTATGTGCGGGGCAATGACCTAGAGCTGGACCGCACTGATGACTGGCAGACCTACCACAACGAGATGTGCAACAGCAACACTGACTACCTGGAGACGGGCATGTGTCAGCTGGGCACCAGTGGCGGCTTTACCAAGAACACTGTGTACTTCGGTGCTCCCGGTGCCTACAATTGGAAAGGTGGGGACCATGGGGAAAAAGGAGGAACAGAGACCACCTAGTCAGTCACTGGACAGCCAGCTGAGACCCTCCACACTATAGGATAGAAGAGACAGGACGCCTTGGCCAATATTAGCAACCACCACAACCTCTACTATATTAAAGCACTGTGTGCTAGAGGCTTTACACATATTATCTTAATTAATCTTAAAATACTCTAGGAGGCAGGTATTATTATACCCATTTTACAGAAAACTGAACCTCAGAGAAGTGAAGTAGATTGCCCAAGCCAACAGCAAGTTTGAAACCTGAATTAGAACGCAGGTCCATTTGACTCCAGTTTAACCATTTAAAAACTTATTTAAAAAGTGAATAACTACTAAATGGTACAGTAGGTTTTGGTAAAATAAAGAGTAAAAGTGCCCCTCCATTCCCTCGTCCCATTTCCCAGCTTATACTACCAAGAATCTTGTGGATCATCCAGACTTATCTTTAACACACACACAAACAGAATCAAACTAAACACGCTGCTCTGCTACCTTCTCTTTTCACTTTTCAATAAACAGGGTGTTTTTTTGTTTGTTTGTTTTTGGGTTTTTTTTTTTTCATGTCAATTCATGTAGGGCAATCTTTTGGGGGCTGCAGAGTAAAACCTTTTATCAAGACCCATGCTTGTAACTACCATGCCACCCCCTGATGGTCCACACCCCTTCCATCTTTGCCTCTCCACCACACAGGTTGTAGCAACAGGGACTCTTTACCCCTTACTGTACCTGATTGTTGCAGAATCAACAGGCAGAGGGAGCCCAGAATCTTGTCCTCTTGGCCAACAGGTGGCCTGGGGCATAGACACACCTCTGCGTTCACCTGAGGCCGAGGCCTCTGCTCGCCCCTATAGTCCTGCCTCTCACCCCCTAGTCCTTTAGAACCTTGGCAGGGTTGCAGGTGCTCTCCAGCAACAGAAGCCAGGTAGGCAGGCGGAGTTTGGGGGCAGGACCAGGAGGAAATAATGGCATGGAGTCTGCCCTCAATGTCTAGAATTGGAGAAATGTCATCCAGTATCCAGGGGCCTGGATGACCAGATTCCAGCCATGTTTCTATAACTAGCTCCCCATCACTGAGACTTGCTTTTCTCATCTGCAAAATAAGAGTCATTATCTTGTATCACAGAATAGTTAAAGAGGAAGTGATTTGCAAGTGACGAAGTAATCACAAATATTTTTAAAAGGTTATTATCCTTCTCTGGGGAGGGTGCCTGGACTGATGGAGGAAAGGGATGGTGACTTACACTTCCCCTCCCCAAATCCTTGTGAAGGAAACAGTTACATGATTCAGCGGAAGGACTGGGATTTATCTGAATACAGTTACAAGGGCCCAGAGGACCAAGGAAACCTCTATATTGGTGAGTCCAGTTGTGGTTGCCCAATGGGTGGAAGAGGAAGAGGGGGTCTCAGGCCCTGGAAGGCTAGCCCTCTCACCTTCAGATGGAAGAGTGAGGCCAGGGTGCAGGTGTGACTAGTGTCCTTTCGTTCAACTAGTATTTATTGAACACCACCTGTATGTACCCAAGATGCAAAGCTCTTACCCTCACAGAGCTCACAGTCCAGTATGCAGGCAGGACTGGACACTGGGCATTCAGTGTTCACTTTCCTGCCCAGCTTCAAATAGAGGAATAGAAGATAATGGGTTTAGATAGAAGGAGACAAAGTTTACTGGGGCCTTGATTGACCACCTTCCTCCCTTCCCAGGGTACACAGTGCAGGTGGGCAGTGCCATCCTGCACCCCACGGATATCACCATTGTGACAGGTGCCCCACGGCACCAACATATGGGCGCTGTCTTCTTGCTGAGCCAGGAGGTAGGCGGAGACCTGCGGAGGAGGCAGGTGCTGGAGGGCACACAGGTGGGCGCCTATTTTGGCGGTGCCATTGCCCTGGCAGACCTGAACAATGATGGGTGAGAATCCAGGGACATTCTCTGGGGCCAGGGAGAATGGTGAGGGGGACGGGCTTGCCAAGGCAGGGAACTGGAGGCTTGTAATTTTTCATTTGTTTGCATGTTGTTTGCAGGGATTTGCAAGTCAATTTTGCCTGTTGATTTGCAATTAGACTTTATGGGATTTGGGGTATCTGCACGTCAGTTGCTTGACACCTGCATCTCTTTGTCTATGCCGGTCATTTGTATGGCTCTAGTGGACGTGGGCTGTTTCGGTGTGATCTGTGCCTATACGGCTTCTCGCATGTGTTTTCTATTAGATAGGTTATATTGGCATTGCATGTCTTTCCCACGACCTATGACCAGAGATGCCTTTGTACAGCTGTGTGCCCTGGCACAATTGTGCCTACTAAACAAGAGTTATGGTGCATATCTGGGGCTGACCTCACACTCCCATTTCCCCCTCCTTTCCTGTGCAGGTGGCAGGATCTCCTGGTGGGTGCCCCCTACTACTTTGAGCGGAAAAAGGAGGTAGGGGGTGCCATCTATGTCTTCATGAACCAGGCAGGCACCTCCTTCCCTGCCCACCCCTCCCTCCTTCTTCACGGTCCTAGTCACTCTGCCTTTGGCTTCTCCGTGGCCAGCATTGGTGACATCAACCAGGATGGATTCCAGGGTATGAGCCAGCACTCCCACCCCAGCACCCCCACTGACTGAGTGCCAGCTGCATACCAGGTTTGACAGGGCCAGAAGAGGAGATGGGATGGGGCCCAGGCCTGAGGAGCTCGCGGCAGTACTAGAGGATGCACAGAGGGAAACAGCAGAGGCGAGGAGTGGGCAAGCCACTGGGCATTGAAGGCTGTACTGAGTGTGCACAATGGAGGGGAGCAGAAAGGGTGCATCATGAGTGTGGGGTTCTCGCCTGACATGCCCAAATCTAATAGGTGTGAGGTGTTCACATCAGAGATGAGGCTGGAGAGGTAGTATGGGGGTGGGGTAGAAGTTTTGAAAGCCAGGCAGAGGAACTGGGGCTTTATGTTTGGATGATGGTAGAGGGGTATCCGGAGAAGGTTTTGGGTCAGAGATGTAATGTGATAGCTTGGTACCTTGGTATCTTGAAAGATCATTCTGGATGGATGGTGGCGGTGGCGGGGGCGGGAATCAAGGCTGGGGTATTAAGATCAAGAATGTAATGTATCAGATGAGAGAATTTAAGACCTAGGATAAGGTGGGAGCCCCAGATATAGAGGATGTCACCAGAACTCTGTAGCACTTAGGGACCAATCAGACCTGCATGTCAGGAAGAGTGACAGATCGAGAGGCTGAGCCTGCTTGCCATGGGAGCACCTGGCTTATATGGAAGTCACTTCTCTGGCATCCTCAGTTTCCCAGAACATAGCTGAAAACCAAAAAGAAGGCAAAGGAACCTCTAAAGAGGCAAAACAGGTGCCAGAAAGTTCAGTTAATAGAGCCCAAGCACTTACTGATATGGGAGGCATCCAGTTTCCACTCAAGACCTACTTATTCTTCCTTTACATACTTTTCTAGCAAGCTTGGCATTCTGGTTACTTAACACCGTATCAGATCTAAGGCAGCAAACTAGGAGGTCAGTAAAGTTTAAGAAGCTAAACCATTTTGAATTTATTTGTGAAAATAATAGTGAGAATTTTAAAAATCTGGACATTTTAACAAGTAAAGTTCACTATAGTGTTGTGATTAAAATCCAAGCCTGCCATGTTAGACAGACATGAGCTCCAATGTCCTTTTCTCTACTCACTAGCTGTGTGACTTTGGGTTTTCAGAGGCTGTTTCCTCATCACAAAGTGGGGACAGTAGTACCTACTGCCAGCACTCTTGTGAGGATTAAACGAGTGCTTGATAACTATCTGACAAAGTAAACAATGGGGAACATCTGCTTTTGTGACCCTACTGGTAAATGACATGAAAAATACAGGTGTCTGGAGGGGAGGTTGTAGGGGAGATGGAAAGCACTGTAATAAGGGAAAATAAACATCAGCCAGCGGTCAGGAATCTGGAGTGTAGGCCTGCCTGAGACATTAACTTGCTTTGTGACTTTAGGCAAGTTACTTCCCTCCTTGGACCTACTTTCTGACATATAAAAGGAGGCAACTGGGTACCCAGTGGTCCCAATTTTAATCTTGAGCTGCAGAGCTCCGTTCCCTGATGGTCTGAACACTACCTGGCCAGGTGGAGTCAAGGCCGTGCTGGGCTCTGTGGCTGGAGCACAGGGTTGGGGATAGGTGGGGCCCACAGTCCCCGAAGTGACCCCATTCTGCCTCTCTTCCCCAGACATTGCTGTGGGAGCTCCATTTGAAGGCTTGGGAACAGTGTACATCTATCACAGCAGCTCCAGGGGGCTTCTCCAACAGCCCCAACAGGTATGGATGGATAGGGACTCAGGGAGCCTACCCTCCTTTCACTTACCCACCCGCTCTCTATTCCCCCTGGGCCTCATTCCCCAGAGCCTATCCCAGAGTTTGTCCACATCTCTCCCCCTACTCTCAGATAATCCACGGAGAGAAGTTGAGACTACCTGGCTTGGCCACCTTTGGCTACTCCCTGAGTGGGCGGATGGATGTGGATGAGAACTCCTACCCGGACCTGCTAGTGGGGAGCCTTTCAGACCGCATCGTGCTCCTGAGGTGAGCCAAGGCGACAGTGGATAGGGGCCATTCTCTCCTTCAGCCCTGTCTGCATGGAGCCCTAGCTCTGTCCACTGTCAACGCTGGGTCCACACAAGCCTGAGTCTTGGCCAGGCCTGGCTTGGGGCAGCAGGAGGTGCTGATATCTATGTATTTTTTATGCAGGGCGCGGCCTGTCATCAACATCCTCTATAAGACCTTGGTGGCCAGGCCTTCGGTGCTGGACCCCACACTCTGCACAGACACCTCTTGGTGAGACTCTCAGCTCCTGCTCTGCCCACCCACTCCTTCTTATGTATAGGCAGCCCAGAAGGGGCCCTGACTCCCAAACCCCTTCCCTGGCATCTCCTGATACACCACCATTAGTTGATTCTTGGGGTAAGCATTGCTCTCCCTAACCAACCTCACTGAAAAGCAAAATTCGTTGCGGAAGGGTATGGATGAATTGGGAGACGGGGGTAGAGGCAATGAGGCATGGTGGTCTGGACCACCTGCTTCAAATCCTAGCTATGCCCACTGCAGTGGTAGGGGTGGGCTCTGTGGAGTGAGATCCTGGAGGAGGAAGGATGAGGGAGACAGGTGGACAGATGTCGGGAAGAAGAGAGAGCCACCTTGAGCAAATTATTAATCTGAGTCTCAGATTCCTTGCCTATATAACAAAGCTAATAATAACCAATTCACAGGGTCGTGATAATTAAATGAGCTAATGTACAAAAATCCCTTAGCATGGTGCCCTGTGTACCCTAAGTGCTCAAAAAATGTTAGTCACTACGATGTGACCGTGGTGGTGATGACCCCCCATGTCTTTGTGTGGATATTGGATCAGAAGGCAAAGGCAGACAGAGGAGGGAAGCATGGGGGTAGGTGGTAGAAAGGGGTCTGGACAGGGGATCCTGCACGAGACCGGTTGGGCCACAACTGACAAATGACTTCAGGCAACTCCTCTGCTCTCAGGGCCTCAGTTTCCCCATTGGTGACCATTCTATGGCTCTATTGGGAGTGGGGAGGGAAGAACCCAGGGACACCCATGATCAGCGATGTGGACTCCCCAGTTTTGCCCCTGCCTTTCCCCTGAAGGATCCTGTTGCCCTTTGCCCAGTAAAGGTGAGAGCTAGGGCCTGGATCTGGGTCCCGCAGTGACCAGGCCCTCCTCTACGTCCCCTCCCTCCAACAGTGTGCAGGTGGAGCTGTGCTTTGCTTATAACCAGAGTGCTGGGAACCCCAACTACAGGCAAAATATCAGTGAGTGCTGGGGTGCAGGGTGAGGGGGGGCATGCTCACCTGGTTACTTGCTGACCACCTCATCCTCCTCCTGCAGCCCTGGCCTATACACTGGAGGCTGACCGGGACCGCCGCCCACCCCGACTTCGCTTTGCACAGAGCCAGTCAGCTGTCTTTCATGGCTTCTTCTCCATGCCCGAGATGCGCTGCCAGACGTTGGAGCTGCTCCTGATGGTGAGGGAGGGGCCAGGGGAAGGCCATGGGCTCCACATCCCTGGAGGAGGTAGCCAGCAGGTCAAGGGTGGGGGACTGGGGTCTCCCCAGGGAATGAGTTGGGGGAGGTGTGCCTGTAAGGCCATAGGTTTTCAGGGGGTACAGTGCACAGCACCCAGCACTTGGCAGAGGAGAGACAGAGACCCGCAGAGTGGGGATGGGGCTAAAGGGCTCTTCACCTTTGAGAAGAATATGGGGTGCGAGACTCTTTGTTCAGCTAAGCTCTCAGAAAAGGGGTCCATGAGTTGGGAACAAGCTCAGCTCCTCTCTGGGACATCATGGAGGAAAGGGAGAGCTTGACCTGGGAACCTAAGCATGAAGGGAGGTTCATACCACCCCAGAGGAATCTCTGGGGAGGAGGAGCCCCATCATCTCATTGTGGATCAGGGTGGTAGGAAGGGGGTCAATTGGTGATCGAACCAGAGTGGAGTTCAGCCTTACTGGGGGGTTTTCAGGGTGGAAGGGGCCCCAGCTCCTCTCTGGGAGCTCAAGGTGGTGTGAGGATTCAACTCAGCCGGGAGGGCAGTGCAGAGCTGGGCTCAGCTCGTCCTCCTTCCTAGGACAACGTCCGTGACAAACTCCGTCCCATCGTCATCTCCATGAACTACTCTTTATCTTTGCGTATGCCGGAGCGCCCCAGGCTGGCGCTGCAGTCCCTGGACGCCTACCCGGTCCTCAACCAGGCGCAGGCTCTGGAAAACCACACTGAGGTGGGCGGGGCCAGACTGAAAGGGCGGGGCTGGGAGGGCTGTGGGATGAGAGGGCACTGTGGTTAATGGGATTTTCACGCCTCCGGCCACTTCCAGGTCCAGTTCCAGAAGGAGTGTGGGCCGGACAACAAGTGCGACAGCAACTTGGAGATGCAGGCAGCCTTCGTGTCCGAGCAGGGGCAGCCGATGAGCAGGTGCTCTTTGGGTGGCTCCAATTGGCCAAGGGTGGGGTGGCCTTCATTGGCTAACAGGAATTGGGGGGCGGGGCTTATTGGTTAAGATGATTGGAGACCTGCACAAGATCTGAGGGGCGGGACTGCAGAGAGAGGCAAGTCAGCGGAGGGACTTTAATTGGCCAGGTAGGATGTGTATGGCTGGCCTTCATTGGCCAGAAAAGGGGCTTTCTTCTCCAGGCGAGACTAGAGGGCGGGGCCTGGCTGGAGAAGGAGCTTTCTTTACCTAGTAGACATGAGGGGCGGGGTCTAATTGATCTGGGGTGGACCTGGGGCGGGGCTCTGGGCTCAGTCTGGAGCTTCTCCTTCCTCAGGCTCCAGTACAGCAGAGACTTTGGGAAACTGCTCTTGAGCATCAATGTGACTAATATCCGGAGCAGGCAGCGGGCTGGAGAAGATGCCCACGAGGCGCAGCTCACCCTGGCGGTACCTCCCGCCCTGCTACCGTCCTCAGTGCGCCCTGTGAGTGCCCACCCAGGGCTCCGCCACATATTTGCATCCTATATGCATGCCATTTACATGTGTTGTCTTTTGTCATGTGTCCCCTCTCCTTTGGGCTGGTCCTCCTCAGGTATCTACAGAGCCTCTGTTGCTAGGGGAATCCTGTTCTCAAACCTCTAGGGCTTCATACTCCATGCCACAGGGGAGGGGTGGGACCAGCCCTACTCTGACCACCCAGACCTGACTGTCTTCTTTCCTCAGTTTGGGGCCTGCCAGGGCAACGAGACTATCCTTTGCCACCTGGGGAACCCCTTCAAACGGAACCAGCGGGTGAGCACTGTTCACCCTCTCCCAGACTATACTCCTCCAGTGAATTTCTTACCTTTCTTGCTTCTGCCTGCCTGCTTCCAGGGCTTCCTTGAAGCAAAGAGAGTAAGGAAGGAGATAAGTAAGCAGGGGTGGGGTGGGATCCAGAGATTGAGAGAAATGGGGCCAGTAGAGAGCTATGCACAAAGCTAGAGCAGGTGGAGGTAAGGAAACCAATTTTGCTGATCACCAGGCCCCAAGCCTAACACTTTGCTTCTTTTATATGATATAGTTCTCACAACCTTCTGAGGTGGTAGATGCTGTTTTACAGAAAGGAAACACAGACTTAGAAAGTTTCAGTAACTTGCCTAAGGTCATATAGCTCAAAAGTAGCAGAAATGTCATTGAAAAATAAGGAGGAAAGGGAAGCAAAGATGAGGCTAGGACATTGAAAGAGTGGAGATGGGTGGGGAGGTAGAGACCCCTCACTCAGAATGGGGAAAGAGGAGGACAGAGAACCAACTCCCAAGCATCATATTCAGCTTTCTCCCAACCATGGCATCACCCCTGCTTGGCCCCAAACGCCCCTCTCTGCCTCCCTGGCCCTCATGGCAGATGGAGCTACTCATCGTCTTTGAGGTCATCGGGGTGACCCTGCACACAAGGGAGCTCCAGGTGCAGCTGCAGCTGTCCACGTGAGTGACCTTGCAAAGCCAGTCTATGTCGGGGTTAAGGTGTCCTGGGGCCTCCCCCAAGCCCCAGCTGACATGTCTCCTCACTTACTTCCTGCACTCCTTTTCCAGGTCAAGTCACCAGGACAATCTGCAGCCCATGACCCTGACTCTACTGGTGGATTACATGCTCCAGGCCTCACTCAGCATGTGGGTACCATTCCCCCCAGCCTGCCTGAGCTAGGGCCTCCCTGTCCCCAAGGTGTCTCTCAAGCTCCTCTGACATACCTCTCTTGGTCTAATATCCTTAGGCCTCCACTTCCCCTGGGTCTTTGCTCCCCTTAACAATAAGAATCACTATCATTATTGTTATTATTATTATTATTCCCCCTGCAAAGCAGGCATCAGTGGAAGAATCAGCAACTCCAGGGCTAAGGTGTTAATGTGGCCCTACCATCTCTTGACAGCTTATTGTGCTAAAGATTTTATATATATATCATCTCATTGACTTCTCACAACAGCTCCATGATATAGCAACAATTATTAACTCCACTTTACAGATGAGGAAACTGAGGTTCAAAAAGGATAAATAACTTGCTTGAGACCACACAGCTATGGCAGAGCTGGAATTTTTCTTATCTCTAGGGTGAGTCACCGGCTACAAAGCTACTTTGGGGGAACAGTGATGGGTGAGTCTGGCATGAAAACTGTGGAGGATGTGGGGAGCCCTCTCAAGTATGAGTTCCAGGTAAGGAGACTTCTAGAACTCTGGGCCGGAGACTCCTGGGAAGGGTGATGGGTCATGTCTTTCTGGGTCTGGGGTCCGAGGGTATGAAGGTTGGGGATTGATGAAATGGAGGTGGTTTTCCAGGAGATGGTGGCCATGACGCCCTCTCTGCTCACAGGTGAGCCCAATGGGGGAAGGGCTGGCAGCCCTGGGCACCCTGGTCCTAGGACTGGAGTGGCCCTACGAAGTCATCAATGGCAAGTGGCTGCTGTACCCTACAGAGATCACCATCCGCGGCAATGGGTCCTGGCCCTGCCAGCCACCCGGAGACCTTGTCAACCCTCTCAACCTCACTCTCTCTGTAAGGATACCACAGGGATCTTTCATTTGCATCTCATTTGCGTGATTCAGGGCAAAAAGGCCAGTGTCTTCCCCTCCCTTCCCTCACACCCCTTAGGGTGCCTGCGTCTCCCCCTGCCCTTTCTTCCTCTCCTCAACTCCGCTTCCATTCCTTCCTCCTGGAAAATCTCTTCTTCTCTCTTCAGGTCCCTGGGGATAGGCTGCCAACTTCACAGCGTAGGCGAAGACAGCTTGACCCAGGGGGAGGCCAGGGCCCCCCACCTGCTACTCTGGCTGCTGCCAAAAAAGCCAAGTCTGAGACCCTGCTGGTGAGTGTCCAGGGCAGTGTTGGAGAGGATTGTGCCCACACGCCCAGGGGAAGTGCAAAACTAGGGGGATAGGTACCACTTACCAGGAGACCACAAGCTGATGAAGTTATGTGGCCCCTGTCCTCAAGAGTCCCCAGTTAGAAGGGGCAGACTCATCTGCCCTCAGAGGGCATCCCATTGCCCTTGCCCTTGGGGAGCAGGCAATACAGTGGACCAAAGGAAAAGATGCTATGCTACCTCTATTCCCAGGAAGACAACCTGTTGGGGGTGATATAGCTTCTTAAAGCTTCAGCCTTTAGGGCTGGCGTGTGCGGAGGGACAGGACAAAGTGGGGCAGGGTGCCCTCTGTCGGAAGGGTGGGAGGAAGAGGCCTGAGAAGCAAGTCGAGGCCTAGATAGGTGGAGAGGTAGGAGGTGGTGTCCCAGGTGGAGGAAGCCGGCATGAACAAAGGCTCAGTATGGGAGGGGGCTGGGAAGGGAATGTTGGTGACTGGGCCCCATTTCCACGAGCAGCGATCAGATTTCATGTTACCCACTTCCTGGCATCTATATGTGCTTGGCCCAAAGAATGTGCCTTTAATGTGTATGTGTAGGGGTTGAGGGAGGGTACGGGAGTGAAAGGATGAAGCTGGGCCTCCTCGAGTCAGCCAGAGGAGGAGTTGAAGGGAAAGAGGCGAAGCATGAAGAATTTGGAGATACAGACTCTCTCATGTCCTGCGTGCCTTGTCCACCTCAGAGCTGTGGCAGTGACCACACCCGCTGCGTGTGGCTGGAGTGCCCTATTCCTGATGCCCCTGTCATCACCAATGTGACTGTGCAGGCTCGAGTGTGGAACAGCACCTTTATTGAGGTCAGTGCCTGGGTCTGGAGGTCTCCACACTCCCCCACCTGGGTGGGGAGAACAACAGGAAGAGGGTAAGGCCAGGGTCACAGCAAGGCCTCATGCACGTGTGTGTGCATATGTGTGAGTTTGTGTTTCAGTGACAGCATTGCATTTTATGCATGATAGGTTGTACACCTGTCACTGTGTGCTGTGTAGTTTGTGTGCCTGTGTGGATATGACATGTTCGTTCCAGCCAAAATGACCCCTCATATGTCCATTGTTCTGTCATGCGTCCACGACTTTCCCATCTCCACGCTTTGCCATGCCGCTCCTTCCCCCCGGAATGCCAGCTGCCCCTCTGTTATCTCTGCAGGTAAACTCTCATTCAGCCTTCAGGGTCTCCCTCAGATGCTTCACCACCAGCGAGGTCTTTTTCAGCTGAAAATGACCTCCCCTCCTCTGAAGATCCACAAAACCTTCTCAGAAGCTGCACGTGCCACTTATCATGCTTCACTCTAAGTTGCAGTTACTCATGCCACCTAGACCAAATTTCTGTAAATGAACAGATTATAAATTTGTCAGCTTTGTGGGCCATACAGTTTCTGTTGCAGCTATGCAGTTCCACCATCGTAGCTGTCATAGATCATACATAAATGAATGGGATTGGCCGTATGCCCAAAACACTTTATCTACAAAAGCAGGTGGCAGGCCAGATTTAGTCCACAGACCTGACCTAGACTGTGACTTTCATTGTCTTTGCTGTCCCAGCATCTAGCAGAGGACCTGATGCACAAATGAATGAATGATGTGCATTTGTGTATGAGGAGGCCTGGCTGTCAGATCCTTTGGGTGCCGCTCAGGGATACTGAGTGGAGGGAGGGTGCCCTGAGTCGATGATGCTTAAGGTCAGGGGGCTCAGGGGGATTTCAGTTGCTTCTTTTGACCCACTCTTTCCCCTTCCAGGATTACAGGGACTTTGACCGAGTCAGGGTAACCAGCTGGGCTACCCTGTTCCTCCGAACCAGCATCCCCACCATTAACATGGAGAACAAGACCGTGCCGGTGAGTGAGTGTGTTAACGAGACAGCAGTGCCTGGCCAGAGCATGGGAGCACAGGGCATCTTTTCAGAGAACTTTCACGCATTTTTGCTATGTGGTCCTCAATCTCGGCAGCACATTGGAATCCTCTGGAGAACTTCTGGTGTCTGGATCACACCCCCGAGTAATGAAATCTGAGTGGAGGTGGGACACTGCTATTGGTGTGTTTCAAAGTCCCTCAGTGGATTCTAATGTGCAGCCAGGGCTGAGAACCTCTGTTTGAGTTTATTTGATCCACACAACATCTCTGTGAAGATATTCCATCTCCGTGGGAACTTGGAGAAAAAAGTTACATCCAGAAGAATAGATATGAAAAAAATCGCTAGAAATTTGTTGTGAAAAGGATGTAAGTGGAGATGTGTAGGAGATACATATTGGAGACGAATGGAGGGTTGGTTAAATACGCTGTGGTACATTTCCTAAAATAAGTTAAGGTGGGGGAGGAAGGCCCAGAAAGATTGATTGAACAGAATAGAAATTTATTTTATTATACAGATGGCATTTTCAATCAGTGGAGAGAAGTAGATTATTAAGTCCTACTGGGAGAACACATTTGGAAAGTAAGACAAACTTCTACCTTACACCATAAAAAATATATTTGAGTTAGATTAAATTATTTAAATATAGGAAATAAAACGCAATATACCAGAAGAAAATTTAGAAAATAATTTAATGATATCTTTATTTGGGAGAAGAGAGTATTCTTTTATTAAACCCAGAAGTCACAAAGGAAAAATTTGACAAATTAATTTAAATCTATATAAATTTTAAATCTATGTACAGGAAATATTGCAGGTTTGATTCCAGACCACTGCAATAAAACAAATATCATAATAAAACAAGTCACATGAAGTTTTTGGTTTCCTAGTGCATATAAAAGTCAGTTTACACTATACTCTAGTCTGTTAAGTATGCAATAGCATTATGTCTAAAAACAACAATGTACATGCCTTAATTAAAAATACTTTATTGCTAAAAAATGCTGACCATCATCTGAGCCCATTGGAAAAATACTGTGCTTGATCTTAGCTAAAAGGCCAAGAAGCAATCGTTAGAAAATAGAATAGACTTGCCCAGTGCAGTGTTGCCACAAAGCTTCAATGTGTAAAAAACGCAGTGTCTGTGAATCACAATAACATGGAGTGCAGTAAAACAAAGTATGCCTGTACAGCAAAAAAGATGGTAAAGCAACTGAAAGGGAAAGCGATAGCTTGCTTTTTAAAACATCTACAGCATATACGACAAAGTATCGATATATATTTTTTAAAATGTAAAGATAAAGGGCAGCATAAAGATTAAACAAGCAGTGTACATAGGGTGAAATACAAATGTTCAACTCAATAGTAAAGAAATAATAACAGCAGTGAGACTTTTTCCATTAGATTGGGAAATATGACAAAGAATAATGCTGTCTGGAGCTGATGAGGTAGAAGGCAATGCTTTTGATTGGAGTATAAATTGATGGATTCTTTTTAGAGATGAATTTGTCAGTATCTATTAAAGTTTCAAATGCACATTTCCTTTGATTTAGCACATGATAATATATCTTAAGGAACTAATAGGAAAAGTATGTAAACATAAATATATAGGGATATTTTAAAGCATTGTTTATAATGACGTAAAATTGGAAACAACCTAAGTATCTTTCAGTAGATTGGTTCAATAAATTATGCTGCATTTCCTACAATGACAATGCAGTCGTCAGAAGAGATTAGGTTGATCTTTATTAACTGACATCGAAAGATGATAATATTAAGTGAAAAGAGAAGCAGGTTGCAAAAGAGTGTATGCAGTACACATAGATCCCATTATGTGGAAGAAATAACATATATAAACATATGCATTAAAACTTACGGAAAGAGATTCACCAAAATGTTGAAGGTGGTTATTTCTAGGGAGTAAAATTACTAGAAACTTTTAATTTCCTTTATGTCATTGATATTTTATTTATTTATTTATTATTTGAAATGATTAAAACACTGAGAGGAGCTAAACTTTTCCTTCTATTTATCTATTTATTTTAATTTTTCCTCTCCCCTCCCCCCTTTGGTAACCATCTGCTTGTTCTCTATATATCTATGGATTTGTTTCTGTTTGGTTTTACATATCCTTTTTTCTTTTTAGATTCCACGTATAAGTGAAATCATATGGTATTTGTCTTTCTCTAACTTATTTCACTTAACGTAATACCTCTAGGTCCATCCATGTTGTCACAAATGGCAAGATTTCATTATTTACTATTACTGAATAATATTCCATTGTATATATGTACCACATCTTCTTTATCCATTCAGCTGTTGATGGACATCTAGATTGCTTCCATATTTTGGCTATTACTAGTAATGCTGCAGTGAACATAGGGGTGCATATATCTTTTCAAATTAGTAGGGTTTTTTTCCTTCAGATAAATACCCAGCAGTGGAATTACTGGATCATATGGCAGCCCTATTTTTAATTTTTTGAGGAATCTCCATACTGTTTTCCACAGTGGCTGCACTAATTTGCAATCTCACCAATAGTGCACAAGGGATCCCCTTTCTCCACATCCTCCTCCATATCCTCGCCAGTACTTGTTATTTGTTGATTTGTTGATAGCCATTCTTTTTATTATTATTATTATTTATGCCTACAGCACCTGGTCTTCCTAGGTGGTCTCCCATCCAAGTACTAACCAGGTCAGACCCTGCTTAGCTTCCGAGATCAGACATCGGGCTTGTTCAGGGTGATATGGCTGTAGACCATGGACCGTGTGTGGCTCCATTGGGTTGCGAACTCAGGACCGTCTGCGTGTAAAGCAGACATGCTAACTGCTACACTATGGAACCATGTCCTTGATAGCCATTCTGATAGGTGTGAGGTGATATCTCACTGTGCATTTGTGGTTTTAATTTGCATTTTCCTGATGATTAGTGATTTTGAGCATCTTTTCATATATATGCTAGCCATCTGTATGTCCTCTTTGGAGAAATATCTACTCACGTCCTCTGCTCAGTTTCTCAATTGACTTGTTTGTTTTTTTTGTGTTAAGTTATATGAGTTCCTTATATATTTTGGATATTAACCCCTTATCATATGTATCACTTGTGAATATCTTCTCCCATTCAGTAGATTGTCTTTTTGTTGATGGTTTCTTTTGCTGTACAAAAACTTTTTAGCTTGATGTAGTCCCATTTGTTTATTCAACTGTATTTAAAAAAAAATAATCAATATAATTTTAAAAGAAATAACAATCATGTATAGTCAGAAAAATATTTTATGTATGTAAAATATGATATAATTTTATAGTATAAAAAATATATATATATCTCCATAGTAGGAGAAGGAAAAGAATAGTACTATATGCTATGTGTTTTTAAATTTTTTTGTAAATATTTATGGAGTGCTTGCTGTGTACCAGGTATTGCTCAAAGCAGTTTACTCATATTAAACATATTTAATCCTCCCCAACAACCTATGAGGTAGATATTATTATCATAATCCCCATATTACAGATGAACAGAGAGGTTAAAAGACTTGCCCAAGGTCACACACTAGTGAATAGCACAGCTGGGACTTCAACTCAGGTAGTCTGGCTCCAGAACCCATGCTTTTTTCCACTTAGCTATATGCCTTATGATCCTCTTATCAGAGAGCATGGAATGGAGATTCGGAAAGGTGAAATTACTTGTCCAGAGTCACCCAGCTAATCAGGGAAGGACCTGGTACCCAAGTCCGATATGTGGGTCACAAACCCAGCTCCAGGTTGCCTCCCAGGTCTGACGCTGCTCCTTTGCAGCCAGGTCTGCACCTAGGAGTTAGATGAATCAGCTGCCCTCAGTGGGCAGGCAGGGGCTTTTTCCAGTCCCTGAGTGCCCCCTACTGGCAGTAGGTCGAAGCAGAGTTCGGGACCAAGGTGGGACAGAAAGGATGAACTTGGGGCCTAAGGGGGCAGACAGAGCTGAACTCCTTCTCACCCCCTCCAGTTCTCTGTGGACATTGACTCTGAGCTGGTGGAGGAGCTTCCAGCTGAGATCGAGCTGTGGTTGGTGCTCGTGGCTGTAGGTGCCGGGCTGCTGCTGCTGGGGCTCATCATCCTCCTGCTATGGAAGGTTAGGACCCCAGCCCGCCACCTGGACTCCTGTCTGGGACCTCCTGCCAGCAGACCCTCGGCAACCCTCCCTTTACCCCACTCCTCACTTCCATCTCACCCCCACCCTTCCCCATGTCCTCCCTCCTCTTACCAGCTTCCAGTCTCCTGCCCATCCTCACCTCACCCACTGAGATGCTCCTGCTTATGTTAGTGGGGGGGACCGTCAAGCCACAAGGGAACCCAGTAACTCTGGCTTCTGGTCACACCACCCAGCTGGGACTAGGACTTCGACCTCCAGGCTCCCCAGCCCTAAACCCCAGTCCATGAGTGCTGCTGGCAAGGACCCCCAAACTCCCCCTGATGGCCCCTCCCCACCTCCTCCCCTTCGCAGTGCGGCTTCTTCAAGCGAGCCCGCACTCGCGCCCTGTATGAAGCCAAGAGACAGAAGGCGGAGATGAAGAGCCAGCCGTCAGAAACAGAGAGGCTGACCGAAGACTACTGAAGGGGGCGGCCCCTGCCCCCAACCCACCCGGGTAACACGGCCTCCAGGCTCTTTTCCCCAAGCCCCCCAGCTGGCAGGGGCCTCTGACTCTGTTCTATCTGCTCTTCTTCCTTTATGGGCCCTCTCCACATCTCACTCTGTCCCCAGCACCACCCCAAAGAGCAGGCCACTCTCTCTGCTTCCCCTCCACACCAAGGGACAGCTCAGGGTGTCTGCTCTCAGCACCCTCCCCACTGAGCCCCTCAAGGACTAGGAGCCCCAAGAGGGAGCCTAAAACCCTTCCCTTGTCCCCTTTGCTGTCTGGGGATTGGAAAAGGGTTAAGACCAAGACCTTGTAGTTCACAAGGCAAATTCCCAGAGTGCTTCTACACCTTCTTCCCACCTTCAGGGAAGGGGGAGATTAGTAGAGTCCTTCCTCCTGGGAACTAGCACTTTTCCTCCTGGGAGCCCCCTCCAAGGTGACAAACCGACTTTTCCCATATCATGGTCATGGTAGACCACCACCCTTCCAAGCATCCCATTAGCAATCTTGGTGGCTGCCCCTCTGCCTCCATTTGCCCCCCATCTCCTTTTCCTCTCCTCTCCTCTTCCTCTTCCTCTTCCTCTTCCTCTGGGGCTTGGGGTGGGGAACTTGTCCTCCCTGTCTCAGCACAGGAAGATGTCTTGTGTTGGATTAGGGGTCCTGGCTTTGAGGACCTCTAAGTTGGTGGGGAAAAGGCTGGGTACATCTTCCCAGTGGCTTGAGAACCAGTTGCTGATAACCGTCCTCTTTTCCCCCCAACTTCAGTGTGACTTCTTTAAACGGACCCACTATTACCAGATCATGCCTAAGTACCACGCGGTGCGGATCCGGGAGGAGGAGCGCTACCCACCTCCAGGGGAGACCCTGCCCACGAAGAAGCACTGGGTGACCAGCTGGCACACTCGGGACCGATACTACTGACATCCTCCCTGATCCCACCCCCGTGCCCCCAGTGTCCCCTTCTATTTATCATAAGTTATGCCCTGACAGTCCACAGGGGCCACTGCCTTTGGCTGGCGCCAGCAGGCTCAGGCACACACACCTCTTCGAGCGCATACATGTGTCGTCTGGCCACAGACTTCTCCGCGCAGGAGTGCTGGGACCGTGGACCTTGCTCTGCCAAGCACACCACAGACCTGTGCCCTGGACACATGTGGATACATGTGGGTCCCACTGTGCTTGTGCACCACAGATGGTTTATGGACATGTGTGTCCCAGCCTCTGCTAGAGCCAGGAGGAAAAGGCTCCCAATGTGGTGACACCTTTCTTGTTCACACTGGACCCATCTTGAGCCATAGTCACTGGATGGACTCTGCTCTCAAGATTAAAACTACTGACAGGGAACAGCCCACCAGGCTGTACCTCAAGCTGTAGTTCCTGGCACCCATGCCAGAGAGCGTGAGGTCTGCCTGAGGTTGTCTAAGGGGGTGTTTGTAGGACCCAGCATGCTCAGACACAGAGCAGAATGAACTAAAATGAGGGTCCCCAGGATGACTTTCTTTCATGGATCTCTGTGAAGCCTCTCTCCTCAGCCACAGCATGTCCTAGCAGGGAATGCGGCCTAAAGGAACAAAGATAGACATCCTGGCATGCTGTGCGGGGACTGCCCTGGGAGCACAGTGGAATCCTCAACAGAGGAGGGGACCGGCCCTGGGCCAAGGAGATGTTGGAAGGATACATAAGAAATACCACTTCTCACCCATCACTACCATCCCGGCCTCTGAAGGGCCTGGAGAATTCCCACAAGATCACAGAGGGAGCGACACTTGAATGTAGGACAGGGAGGAAGCCCTGTCCCTGTCCCATTGGCCAGACCCCACTCTGCCCCCACTGACCAAGGGTTAGGGGCCAAGAAGTGGAGTTCTTGGCTGTCCTTGGCTTTCATCACCTATCGGCTCTGCCTTCTCCCCCATGGGCTGAGTCCTGAGGCCCATTCTAGAAGTCGAAGCTGGTTCCAAAAACCCTCTCCTGCCCCCTGCCTGTTGGCAGCTCCCCTTACCCCCTTCCACGGTACTGTAGTAGGGGAGCTCCCTCTCCCTCCTTGTGCCTTCTTTGTATATAGGCTTCTCACATCAACTAATAAACAGCTCCCTGTTTGTACACTCTGCATCTGCTTCTACCTGCCCCCCCACCCCTGCCACCCCTTACTAAACCCATTCGATCTGATGGCTGATATCTAGCTGACTCACAGATGGACATAGCCTGGTGCAAGGGTCTTAGAGTTTGGGAGGGTGAAGACTGTGGGGAAGATACCTGCCCCTGCTCTCACTCTCAGGGGTGCCCTAGTCTAAGGGCTGGTCATAGACAGGAAACTGTCTAAGGTGAGGGGAAAGACCTGAGTAGACTGGATGGAAACCAAAGTGGCTTCTTGGTAGCTGGTGAGCTGGCCCTGGGGAAGGTGGAGGCGAGAAGTGATGATCTGCAGAGTCTGGAAGGGGCAGGAAGCTGTTGTCCTGGATAACGGTGGAGGGTGGTTGCGTTCAAAGGTAGAGAGCCGAGAGCCCTTGTCTAGTGGCTGCATTCAGATAAGAACCTGCTTTTCTGCCTCAATTTCCCTACTACCACGCATAGGCACCATGATGAGTAGACGATCAGAAGGTGAAGCAGTGACATAAGGCTGGAAGGACCGAAAGGTCATAGTATCCATTCCCTAGCCTCTGGACAGGAGAGCCTGGAGCCTTAGTCTCATGGAAGCTACCCCAGGGGTGCTTAGGTACTGAGCTGACATAGTTCACAGTATTGGATCAAGCCCTCCACTACTTTCTCTACGCTGTCATCCCCTCCACACAGGCCTAGGGAATGGAGCAAGGCTGCGTTCCTCATGACTTTTTTGTCCTAAATTATGGCACAGGTCCTTCTATTAATTGTTCCCAAGGCTGTGACCTTTGGCAAGACTTCACTGAAGGCTAGATTTTATTGCCCAGAGAAGCCTAGAGGCAAGTCCCTAATTCAGCTCCTCTGGAAGCCCACAGACCCAGGCCCTTCTCCCAGGAGCTGCTCCTGATGTCTACCCGGGTATTTCCCAGCCTGCTTGCCCCACTGCGGCAGCTGCCTGCTCTCCACTCCCTCCACCAGAGCCCACATCGCATAGAATCCTGGGCCCAGCAACTCCCTCTTCCTATGCTGCAATTTACCCTTTCCCAGGTTGACTGACAGTAGAATGTCCATGTCCTCTAGGAAAACCTCAGCCCCTACCCAGAGCTCTCAGAACCAGTCATCAGAGACCTTAGTTTGCTCTCCAGAATCTGTGTTATTCACTCGGTCATGTGGGTTATCAAATGTGGATTATCAAAGTCCTGCTCAGGTTGAGTAAGCTCGATTAAGCTTGGTCTAGTCCTTTGCAGCCACTTCCCACTAAGAAAAAGTTGGGATCTACACATCCTTCTGGCCAGCTTTATAGACAGTCCCCAGTCTCCTGTGAGCTGCTGCTTGGATGAGAGCACTGTCTGTCTGTCCATCTCTCTGTCTCTCTGTCTCTCTGTCTCTCTCTCTCTCTCTCTCTCTCTCACACACACACACACACACACACACACACACACACTGGTGAGACTAAGTCATCATTTTCATGACTGGTACAGCTACAGCTTTTATGAAAGAAATAATGGCAGAGATGCAACAATGTCTACTTTCTACGAAAGGAATCTATAACCCAAGCTTATTGAGCTCCTTGGAGCCACAGCACCTCCCAGCTGTTCCAGAAGAGGGTCTTGGCTCTTATATCACTAAAATGACCCATAAGGTGATGTTTCCCCTTCTAGGCAGTAGCAGGACTGCACTTCCTGGGCCTTTTTGGTTGTATGAAACCATGTGACTAATTCTAGCCAGTGAGTTGTGATCAGGAGGGAAGTAGATCACTTTTGGGCTGAGACAGTAAATTACCGGATGATTCTCCCAGTTCTGTTTTCCTTGCCTCTGCTGCTGTGGAAGCCTATGTTGAGATGAAGCTCCTGTCAGTCTAAGTCCCGGAGAGGCCCCCACCAACCTGTGTTGTACATGTAGTAAGAAGTTTGAGGATTTGGGGATTTTGTTACCTCAGCATCACCTAACCTAGTTGACTGATCCACCAAACCATGCCACTGCCAACACCACCCTGCAGCAATCTCTGCAGAAAGAATTGTAATTCAAACACAGAACCTACATTATGGAAGTCCAGCTCTAAGTGTAAGATTATGGGAAATCTCTTTTCTTCTCCTACACCTAGCCTCAGAGGTTATGGCCTTTTCCTTGTTACTTTAATTTTGACAATAATAGTAATAGCTGCCATTTATTGATTATTTACTATGTGCCAGGTACAGGGCTAGGCTTTTTACATATAGTATCCCAGATACTCTTCCAGGCAACTTAAAGGCTGCACTCACCAACATCGTCAATTACTTAATTGCTAGCTGGATGGATATCTGGTGGTCCTCCCTGATACCTTTGTGGCATGTCTCCCTGGTGACCCCAACTTCTTTTTTCACCCTGTTTACACTTCTGTGTGTTAGGTGCTGTCCCTGGTGCTGGAGAGAGAGTAGTGAATAAGACAGACATAACCCTATGTTCAAGGAGCTTAAAGTCTAGTGGGGCAGACAGATGAGTCGGCCGATGATTACCACTCTGTGTGGTGAGAGTTAAAATGGTACTAAGATCAGGAGGTCAAGGAACACTTGGAGGAGGCCCATAACTCAACCCAGCAGCGTCAGTGATCTGAAGAACGGGAAGGTAAAGGTGAGAAAAAAGAATGATCCAGGCAGAAGAGACAGCATTTGCAGCAACTTGGAGATTGGAGGCTGGCTCAAAGTAGATGAGAAGTATGGCTGGAAGTTGAGCAGAGGAACATGGAGAGATGAGGCTGAAGAGTTAAGCCAAAGCAGATCACTTGAGAACTCGAAAGGCTCTAGTAAGAAGTGGGGAGCCACTGAAAGACTGTGAGCAAGGCAAGTAACAAGTTCAGATTTGTAGTTGAGAATGATCCCTGGGCCTCGGTTTCCTTATCTATAAAATGGGTATAATAATAGCACAATAGAGTTATCTGAAGAATTAAATAAGAAAATGCATGCAAACAGTGCCTGGCCTGTAGGTTATTATTCATTCAGCTGAGAGTTTCTCCCATTGTGACCCCCTGCATATAGCTTCATGTTGGCTATAATCACATTCTGTTATACCTATTTAATTATTTATTTTTGAAGTGATCTCCCAAATTGAGAAATAAAACAAGCGAGGGGAAAGACCATATCTTAATTCTGTCTGTGTTTCCCTGTTCCTGGCACAAAGCCTAGTATATATTAGGCATTTGGCAAGTTCAGGCCAAGGACAGAACAGTGAAGAGCACAAACATCAAAGGGGCGAGTCGGGCGACAGGAGATACCACGTCAGACCGCAAGAGGGCGTGCTACGTTCCTACCAGAGAGCCGGGGCTGCTGGAGAAGAGTGGGCTTCCCGGCTCCCAGCACAAATCCCCTTCCAGGACTTTTTCCAGGAAGCCCAGGGCGGAGAAGATTGCTTTCTCGGGTCAAATGAGCTAGAGAATAATAAAATAAACTTATTTTGAAAACTGCACTCGTAGCACTGATTGTAGGGGCTGTCTCCACCACTGCTGGTCGTTAAATCTGGGTTTCGACGTTGGGTGTTTTTAAACTGGAAAAGCCTTTTCCTGAACTACTTGGATGCCTGTGGAAGTGGGTGGTCTGCGCACCTAATGAGGGATTATGGGGATTTGCATCCTGATCCTGAAGTTTGCGAGCATTCAGTCACTGCCATCCGGACTGGGAACCCCCTGAGGGAGAGCAGGTCGGGATCAAGACAAGTGACACGGGCTCCTCTGGGAGGACAGGGATTCGTTGTAAGCTACCCAGACAATTTCAGGGTAAGCAAGTGAAGGTGATTCGGGAAGGGAGCGAGGAAAGTGGAAAAGGAGGCGGAATAGCAAGTCTCTGGAAGGGAGGGGTTAATCCGCGTTGGGCTCGGAGGGGAATCCAGCCGAGTGTGCGGGGTAGGGAAGGATCTCTTCACCGCCGGGAGAAAACAACTCGCGGCTCTGAGCCAACACGGGTTAAAGGGGCGGGCCCGGGGAAAGCCACGTGCCGAGGCTGCAGGCTATTGGTTGCTGCAGAGTTGTTTGTGAGTGGCCATTGGCGGCGTCGGGGCGCCGCCTCCAGTTGATTGGCCGGGCTTGGAGGACCGCCAGGGCCGCGGAGGGGAGGAGGAGGCCGAACCGCGACGCCTGGCAGGGCTGGGCCGAGCCGAGCGCCAGAGCCACCGGTGCCTGGACCCCGGTCCGAATCCCAACCGCGGTGCCGCCGCCATGCGCTGGGTCCGCGCGCTGCTGAAGAATGCGTCCCTGGCAGGGGCACCCAAGTACATCGAGCACTTCAGCAAGTTCTCTCCGTCCCCGTTGTCCATGAAGCAGTTTCTGGACTTCGGTACGTAGTGGGCAGAGGGCGTCTGGGCGCCGGGACCCGCGGGGGCTGAGTGGAGCGAACGCAGGGGTCCCGTCCAGGAACGATAAGCGCAGAGAAGAGAGGCCCTGAGTGATAGGGAAGGGTTGCTTGAAGGCGTACAGGAAAGAAAGGGTTAACAGGGAGGCAGCGACAGCCGGGCCTGAAAAGGCTATGGGTACCCTGGCTGAAGAGACTCTTGACTGGACTATTAATGGGAAGTGGGGGGTGGGGACCCTAAGAAGGAGGGATCCTAGGTGTCTTCTTGGGCTTTGTGAGGGGCCTTGGAGAGCATTCAGGCATAAAGGGTCCTGATGATAAGACTGGGAGACAGAGAGGAAATGGGGGTGGGGGTGAGGATGCTGGTGAGAGTAACAAGACAGCGTTTGGAGGTACGGTCATATGGAAGGAGACCTGGGCTGGGCATCCAGGGGTCATTTGTGGAAGGGGCTCTTGCAGAAGATGCCCAAAGGAGAGAGACCCTGACCAGGATAATTCCACCCAATGAAGGAGCTGGCCCCCAGCTGGCCCAGTGGGCAAGGACACTTGAAGATCAAATCCCCTTGGGTCTGGGTGCCTGTCCCCAGCTAGGCAGGAGCCCAGGGCACCATGAGGTGGAGTCAGGCAACTTGTACCCACCCTTGGCAGCCCCTGGGTTCCTAGGCCAGGATCACCTTCCACAGCGTTCTGCGGGGAGCTCTGGAGCAAGAGCAAGGCTGTGCCAATGTGGTGACTGAAACAGACATTGTGTGGGACTTGTCTGTCCACGTGGTATTTCCATGGTGCCAGTTGGGGGTGGGGGTGCCCAGGTCTCTTAAGAGTTGACCTGCCTGGCTCAGGTTACATCTGCGTCACTGGTGGGAGGGGGCAGAGAGGGGGCAGCCAGGACAAGGAGCACCTGTTCCCCTGGACTTCGCCGCCTGCACCCTGCCCTGTTTGAGCTTCCCCCCACCCCATGTGGGGAAGCCACCTATGCCCGCTCCCAACCTGGAGCAACTGTCCAGTCCAGACTGGACCCCAATTACAGAAATGTCACAGCTGGGAGGGGCTCACGGTAGAGTGTGGTCCACTTACAGTACTGTGGGGGAAACTGGGACTTTAAGAAAGACGGTGACACCTCCTGGGTGACAGAGTTGGAAGGAGAAGCTGGACTAGAACCTAGGTCTCCTGACTGTAGCTTGTGGCCTCATTTAATCCTCCACCCCCTCTTTCTGAAGCCAGGCCAAGGACCAAGGTATTTGGGTTACCATCCATTGGCCCTGTCTGCCTCACAGTTGGGTGGGTATTAATGCAGGGGTAGCTCTACAGTGGTCATCAAGACCAACCTGGGTGAAGATGAGCCAGAGATGGCACTGGGAGTTTTCAGCCACAGTGGTCTAGGCAGAGCTCCCTTCAGCCAGGGCCCAGTCCTGGGAAAGGATGGTTTCTCCAGGCTGTTCTGCCCACCTAGATCAGCTCCCCCAAAGTGAGTGTCTGATAGGAGAGAAAGAGAGAAGTGAGGTAATTTAGGCCAGAGGCAACTCCAAGTGGGCCCCGGATTGGCCCTGCACCCTGTGATTGAAGGAGAGCAGGTTCAGATGGGGGTGAGGAGAGGATGCAACCCCCCAAAGGGTTAGGCAGCGTGGTGGGGAGGGTGGAGCACTGCAGGGCATTAGGAGAACTGCTTACTCTGTGCCCCCAGTTACTTCTCCTCTGAACCCTCAGGAAGTGGAGGATTTAATCAACTTGACCCCTGAGATGTCCTCTGGTTCCAATGGTTTGCAGCTCTATGGGCTCATGTCTCCCTCTTTCCTACCAGGGTCCAGCAATGCCTGTGAGAAAACCTCATTCACCTTCCTCAGGCAGGAGCTGCCTGTGCGCCTGGCCAACATCATGAAAGAAATCAACCTGCTTCCTGACAGGGTGCTGAGCACACCCTCGGTGCAGCTGGTACAGAGTTGGTGAGACCCCCGGCTAGATCCCCACACCTCCACTCCATCGCCAGATGCCCTGGGCTCAGAGATGGAGTCTCCAGGCGGGAACAGGCACAGAGGGCAGGCACAGGGAGGGTGAGGAGTTGCCCAAGGTCAAGCAGAATGCTAGGCCAGAACAGGGACAAGGTCAAACCCTTAGCCTTGTATCTGTGGGACAGCCCTATGCCTACCACACTCCTTTCTCTGGAAATCCTAGATCCACCTAGAAAATCATTTTCACAGCCAAAACCCCAAATCAGGCTGATGTCAGCATTTGCCCCTCTGCCCTGGTCATGAAAACCCAGCACTTGTGGGGCAATATTTACGTGGGGTAACTTTGTGGGAAACAAACAGAAAGAAGCAAATCTTCAAATCATATAATATGAACTACAAGTCAGACTGTTTGGATGTTAGAAAACACTCATAAACACAGGACCTATCCCCAAAGAGCTTTGGAGGGCAAAGACCAAAAGCTTATTGCACAGAGCAGCAGTAGCGAGGGAAATCCTCAGTAAAACTCACTCACGAACTCTGTCCAGGGTTCAGGAATTGGATGACATTAGCTCACACCAGTCACATGAAGAATAAACAAGTTTACTCTGTAACTGGGCGTGTAAGTAGCTAATCGTGGTTGGTCCTTAGTGGCACCTGTGCAGAAATCTTTTGCTAGTTCTGGCTGTCGGGGGTGTGGTCTGCCTGTGGTTTCCTTTTGGGTTCAGGAGCACCAGACTGACTTTCAGTTCAATGTCATGCCAGGGGAACCCTTGATCTCAGGGGAAGGATAAAAGAGGGCAAACTAAATGCTACGTAGACAGTGGTAGGAGCAGTGAGCTGCTGAAGAGTTAGTTTTATTTAAATTAAGAATAAAAAATTACTTAAAAGTAACATGGATTAGGGTCTTTTTTCCTCATTGCAGAAGTGTAATGTGTTCACTTTGATGCCTAGACCTAGAAAATTTGAAAAACAGAAAATTAGGTAGAAAAGAATGCCAACCACTACCCTCCACCCCATAACCAAACACTGTTAAGGCTTTGTAAGGTTTTGTTAGTGCCCTTCTAGCATTTTTTTCTATGCATGGACCTGCGTATGCATGACTTGTACTTATTAAATGAGATTTGGGAAGGAAAGTGTTTTGTACAAGGCTAGGCACATAGTGAGTGTACAGTGAATGTTAGTGGAGTCAGAAAGTTGTGGGGAAGTTGAAATGGACGCATGAAATGGTAATGTGTTACTGGGCCTTACATGGTACCTAGGTGAGGCTAGACCTAGAAAGAAGGGAAGGCCAAAGCACCTACTTATGTAAAGATATGGAGGCAGGAAACCACTGACTAGGGCATCCGAGTGCTGTTAGTGAAAGCTAAAGGTGAGATGGGGGGACAGAGATGACTTTCGTGTAACCCAACCAGGTCACCCCTTGCTAATCCCTAGTCCAAGACTTCTGAGCTCACTGGCATTTCCCGCTATGGGGCGGTTTGGAAGTCATGGGGATGAGACAGAAGGTGCCATCTGTTCTTTTTACCCCTCCTCCAGCTCTGTCTGGCTGATCGACTTGGCTGCCTCTCCAGCTGGTCCTCGACTCCAGGACATGGCTTCTCAGGCCCTTCCCTGGACACTGTGTTCCTGGGAGAGCCAGGGGATTGTGAGGAGGGTGGGGAGGGTGGGGAAGGTGGGGCAGGGAGCTGCTGAACTGCCCGTGATGCCCCTGGGCCCCCTTGGAGTCTCTTCCTGAAAATCAGTAACACTTATCAAGGCTTGGCCTGACTTATTCTTCTCTCAGTAATGTCAACCAACAGCAGAAGACGTTAGGCAAGAGAGAACACTTCCCAATGGATGATCAACTTAGAGGAGAGCAGGTAGAAGGCTTGCTGAAGTGTCCGACACACTGAAGAGACAGCCTGCTGAGATTATTTCCGGAATGGGCATTGGCTGCAGCAAGAGGGACTGAGGTCTGAGGGAAGGAAGGACTTCCTGACAGGGCCAAGGTGGCTGCCTTGAGAGAATGCAGACCTACTTCTGCAGGAGAACCTCCTGCGGGTTTGGATGGTGGAGGCAGTGGAAGTGGGCAGAGTATGGGAGAGGAGGGAGACAGCCTACCAGGGAGCCTGGCAAGAGGGCCAGTAGTCTCAGAGTCTGATGAATAAGGAACAAAACCTCCTCTTTAGAAAGCAGAGAAGCCCTGTGCAAATGATAGTAGCAGCAGTGGTGGTGGCAATCATTCATGTGTGGTGACGGCTAATGGAGTTTGCACTCAGCCCGGGAGAGGCACTCGGCGGGGATCACTGTGAGCGAGTGGAGAATTCCTGATTCCAAATAAACCTGATTATTTCAACTAGATAGACTTGATGTCGTGGAACCCTGTTTTGGAAGTGACTGGAACGTGGTGGAAGGCCTTTGGTGTGGCATCAGCATGCTTGACTTTGGCAGACACTTACACCTTGTCAAACCATGGGGCCTCTCTGAGCCTTGGCTTCCTTATCTGGAAAATGGAGATCCAAGCTGTTTCTATGGGTCCAATGCCACTGCTAGATGTGAAAGTGTGGGGAACATTATAAACACAAGCGATGTCCCGGACTTCTAGGCTGCAGCACCTCCAGGCCAAAGATGATATGATTATGGCAGAGGTTCCCTTAGACAGTGTGGTAATGATAATGATGATGATGACAAAAGCAAACATATCTGGAGGGCCTGCTGTGCATCAGGAACTGTTCTGAATGTGTCCACATATTAACTATTTAACCTTCACGACAACCTTAGGAAGTGGGCCTTGCTATTATCCCCATTTTATAGACGAGGAAACAGGTTTGGAGAGACTGAGAATCTTGTCTGAGATCACTCAGGTAGTCAGTGGTAGAGCTGGGATGCCAACCCAGGCTGTGTGATTTGGAGGCTGCATTCTTGAAGGGAAAGGCAGGGTGCTGTGTTCTGGGGCAGTGACCTGGAGTCAGAGATTTCACATCGCAAGTCAGTGGGAAAGTCGGATTCACATTATAGAATCTTTTTTGACAGCTAGTGTTGCTGGAGCACAGAAGGGGCAACCTTGATTCCTTTCAGGAGAGGAAGACAGCCTGAGGGAGATGTGGAGTTGGTAGAGATGTGCTTCCCAAAAATGGAGGGTGAAGGGAGAGTTGCAGAGTAGAATCCAATGCCAGCCACTCCTGTCACTAATAGAGTCTTTGCAGGGGTTGCAGGGAGTGGGGTGGGAGGCCATATGGAGCACCTTCACAGGAACCTCCCTGGCATGTTAGCAAGGTGTGTGGACCCCAGACTCTACCTATGGAGGACTCCACCACCATCACCATGCAGGCTCTTGGCACCCAGACCTGCTCTGCCAGGCATGGTGCTGGGGCTTTAGCCAAATCCTCCCATTGACTCTCTCAGCCACTGTTCATATAATCAGAGTAGAGACTACTGACCTGCATCATCTCCTCTGAGTGGCAACTGCTCTGAATCCCATTTTATAGACAGGGACCTGAACTGTTCAGTGGACTCTTTAGGGCACAGCCAGCAATGGGACCCAAGCTAGCCTGGCTCAGTGCCCACACTTGCCACCCCTCTGCTTCCAAATGCGAGACATGTCTGTCACCTCTCCCTTCCTCATACAGCCATCATCCTGTTCACTCTTCTTGTGCCTAGCAGCTGTGGACACTGGTGCATGGTGCATGCCCACAGGCACACAGACTTACACACACTCCCTCACTCACTTAGCGCTCCTTCCTGCTCCCACACAAGCCTGTGTCCCCCGCCCCAGCACTGCTTACTCATTCCAACATTGCTCCTATACACACACTCTCTCCCTTACCTCCCCAACACACACACGCACATGCTTCTTCCCTCTCCTCTCCCAAATTTCACCTCTCCTGTCTCCCAAATCCAGGGCACTGGACTGGCTACAAAGAACCAGAAGAAAGGGTTGGGACTTCCACATTACCTTGAAGTGGGAGGAGGCTCCAGATCTCATCAAGCGAATCTTGCGTGGCTTTATTTACTGCTGAGGTTGGCAGGCCCAAGCCTTCCCTAGGCACTGTGTTGGGCCCCCACTCTACCTGCTGAGGGCAAGTGAATCTAGAAGTGATGCATCAGTCCTTGCACCACTGCCTGCAGGCCTCCCATGTCAAAGCTCAGTTCTTTCTCCGACCCTCAGAGGGGTATGCAGCCCAGGAGCCAGCATGGCTCCAGCCCCGGTGTCTCTCCCTTTAGGACGAAGATCTGGCCCAAGGGTGAGATTTGGTGTGCTAGGCCCCTGGGGGGCTTCAGGCCAGGGCTGGGGTCCCCTGGGGGAAATCCTTCTCATCTTCTGCTCTTCCTTCCAAGAGAACACCCAGGACCACTCCCCTGCAGGAATGGCCCTGTGAAGGAGGCAGGCAAGGATTCTAAATACTGCTTCACAGTTTTGGAGATCGAGGCCTGAGGCTGGCAGCTCTCCCCATACCTGGGCTGGCAGGCACTGCCCATTGCCAATCCATCCTGGTGCCCTTTGCTGTACTTCACTGGCCATGTGACTAGTCCCCTTTTCTGCCCTCTATGGTTCATTAGGCAGCTATGGAGTGCTGATGCTAGCAGCTAAAGCACTCACCCTATTCCTGGGCACTGGGACTCCGACTCCCCTCACTCCTGGCCAAGCACCACTAAGCTGGTCAGGACCTCCTGGCTCCAACCACCTCCCTCTCTGCCTGCCCCCTGGGTCTTGGGAAGGGTTCCAGGTTCTCCAATTTCCAGCTGGTCAACAACCCTTCCTATCTCTACCTGTCCCCAGCATTGCACACTTGCAGGTCCTCTCCCCCAGTTCCTTCCCCCTCCAAGAATCATGTGAGCATGAAGCTTTATCTTGGGCATGATAAGGGAACAAGGGATTGGAATCACATGGGCCTGCAAGAGAGAATCTCTGCCCTGCAGGTTAACTTCCTTATCTGTAAAATGGGGCTAGCAGTAGCACCCACCTCACAGAGTAATGATGGAGGTTAAAGAAAGGGAGCAGGCGGGCACGGAGCAGAGACCTGGCACAAGGCCTATGCCCAATAAATTCTGGCTGCCACCACCATCGACATCAGAGCATCACCATTAGGACCAGTGTAGATGGTGAGCAGTTGGCCATGTGGTGTAGAGTTGGCATCAGACAGACCTGGGTTTGAATTCCAGCATGGCGGCTTACTGTGTGTGGCCTGGGGCATATCATTTGCCCTCCTTGAGCTGGTTTCCTTGTCTGCAAAAAGGGGGAAATACTGTAGGTCCTGAAAAACTTTGTTTTATTCAATGTCATTTCATTATAATGCTGATGAGATGCTATAAGAACTTCATTCTTATTTATATCAATTAGCCCATGGTAAAATTGGTTGTGTCATAGTCGTTTTTTCTTAAAATTACAGTACCTATGACAGTGTTAAGTGAGGACTTACTGTACTGCATGCTTATAAAGGCTGCAGAGAGATGAGAGACCCTGTGAGACTCTGAGCACAGGTGGGCACTAATGGCCACTGTGTAAGTATTGGCTGTTGTTATTCTCCAGGAAGATGAGGTAAGGCTTCAGGCGTGCCGCTCTGATTGTCTGCTGGGGCTGCAGGGATGGTGAGGAGGTGCTGAGGGCGGGAAGCTGATCTTTTCTGTTCACTGGGCTCTTCCATCAGTGACTATACTGCCTCCTCTTGGATGCTGTACTGAGCCCTGGGTGGGGCGAGCAGGCAGGGCACACCAGGGCTGGAAAAGCTCTATTCTTGCCATTGGTGGCTGTCCAGAGCATGACAGATTAAAACATGGTGTGATTCAGAGCCTATATTCAGTACAACTTGGAGGAGGGTATCATGTGCTGCCTGGGGAGTCAGAGGATGCACTCAGCTGTTGACAATGTTTGAACCACTATTCATAACAAGAGCAAACATTTAGAGAGTGCTCGCTATGTGCTAAGTACTGTGCTAATTATCACATTTAATCCTCACCAAAAAGCAGTGATAGCAGTAGATATAAAACCCTCCTTTTTCCTGATGAGGAAAGTCAGGCCCAAAGAGGTTCCATGACTTACCTAGGACTACACGGCTCAAGGTGGAAAAGCCAGGACTGGGACCCAGCAGAGCTAGCTCCAGAGCTAGCTCTCTCACCCTCTTCTCTCTTCTCTTAAGCAAGAGAGGAAAGGGCCTTTTCTAGAGAGACTGTTAGGCCCCAACGCCCCCCGCCCCCCCCCACCTCCCACTCAGGGCTCTCGGTAGGCCCTCCTTCCTGCTGGCTGGAAGTGTTACTGTCAGCTCTCCTGCCTTCCCCAGGAGAACAAGCTGTGAGCTGGGCATGTTGGCAGGGAAACAGTGGGTATTTTGGCTTAGGGGGCCAGGGGACAGTGGCTCCAAGTTGGTACCAGCTGCTGCCACAGGTAGGCCTGACTCCCTTGCAAAAGCTAGCCCCCTGCTGTCCCTGAGTTCAGGGTTTCCCAACTCTCTCTTTGGTTACCCAGCTCTTTTCTAGGTCCTGGGGAAACTAGCCTCCCGACCAGGCCTATAGATGGAGGGGCAGCAAAGAGCTGCTCATTCCTGCCGGGCCCTTCAGAGGAGAGTGAGCTCTTGGGCTTATCAAAGCTGGGTCTGCTCACCCCACCCTGGGTCCTGCCCATCCACCATTTAATCCATTCCCTAGGTGGATTGCACAGCTCCCGCTGCCTGGGCCATACCCATCCAGCCCTGGTTGGGGGTGTGAGGCTGTCATCACTGTGGGAGCCCTGGGCTGGCCACTCTGCCAGCTGTGCCCATGGCATGCAACAGATACTAGGATCTGTTTCCATGACAGGACTCAGGGAGGTAGAGTGACTTCTCTTAGTCAAGTCTCCCCTGTCCCATCTGGGTCTCAGTCTCCTCATCCTTGAAACCTCATCGGTGGTGTGGTCTCCAAGGCCCTTCTAAGACTCCTATTCTAAGATTCCAAAGCAAAGATGCTCTAAGGGGGACCAACACATTAGAGGTTGTCTTGCATAACTCCCTGTGTTGTCAGAAACTCACATACAGATGACATGAAGTGAGAATTTGTGATGTAGCTTGTCAGCCAGCACAGCTCTGTGTGGTGCCCACAGGAGGGGCAGAACCAGAGTGAGGGCAGCTGAGTCAGGTGGGAAGGGGGCCTGGGCTAGAGCTGAGGTGATGTCCCCCCGCCCCAACCCCTTGTGCACAGGTATGTCCAGAGTCTCCTGGACATCATGGAGTTTCTGGACAAGGACCCTGAGGACCGTCATACCCTGAGCCAGTAAGTGAGGGCCCTGGTTGGAGGAGGGAGAACAGGTATAGGTCAGTGACATCTGTGGTCACAGACCCAAGGGCAGAAGTGCTAGCAGGATGGAAGAAATGACCCCTGCCCTCAGGGATATCCAGTCTGAGTGGGGAGACAGCCCCTGCCCTCAATGTGCCCTGAGTCTGATAAGGAATCCATGCCCTGCCCCTATGGAGCATCCAGGCTGTCAAGGGGAGTCAGGGTGGGCTTTGCTGTGTGTCCATCTTTGGGTTGGGAAGGGTCAAGTGGGTGAAGACACTGTAGAGAGGTCAGAAGTGGAGGAAAAAATCTGAAGGTGTCCCCGGAGTTGGGCCTGGGTGGGGCCCAACATCAGCTGTACCCTGCAGGTTCACTGAGGCCCTGGTCACCATCCGGAACCGCCATAATGATGTGGTGCCCACCATGGCACAGGGCGTGCTGGAGTACAAAGATGCTTATGGCGATGACCCCGTGTCCAACCAGAACATCCAGTACTTCCTGGACCGATTCTATCTCAGCCGCATCTCTATCCGCATGCTCATCAACCAGCACAGTGAGCCGGGCAGGCGGTCAATGTCGACATGAAATTCATTGTTTTAACTGTTTACAGAATGCAAAATTATGTCACCTCTTTAAAAAGTGTCCAATGTGGTATTCACAACTCTCACTGGAGTGGTCCGGGTTAGAGGAGAGAGGGCAGGAGGATGGGGAAGGGGCAGCAGAAATAGAGGTGGAGAGGGGAGAACCCTGGGGAAGAGGGAGAGCAGGGCAGGCTCTGCGGCCCCACCAGCAGCACCCTCCTTCCTGCTGCAGCCCTGATCTTTGATGGTAGCACCAACCCAGCCCACCCCAAACACATCGGCAGCATTGACCCCAACTGCAGCGTCTCTGAGGTGGTGAAAGGTAAGCTGTCCCCGCTCTGTGAGCCTGGTCTACCAAGGAGCCCAGTGACCCCCTCCAAGCTTACCTGGCCAGAGGGTGACCCATTCCCCAGTGGGTGGGGGCCATATCCTCATGGGTTTAATGTCGGTGATGCCCAGTGTCATTGCCAAGAAGACTTCCTGCAGGGTGGGCCACCCCATTCCTCTGTTCTCTCAGATGCCTATGACATGGCCAAGCTCCTGTGTGACAAGTATTACATGGCCTCACCTGACCTGGAGATCCAGGAGATCAGTGGTGAGTGAGCAAGGCTCTGTGTGTGTGTGTGTGTGTGTGTGTGTGTGTCTGTCTGTCTGTCTGTCTGTCTGTCTCTCTAAAGGCTGGGGACATGGGAGAGCAAGGTGAGTTGGGGAGTCAGGAAATTAACTATTATCTGGATAAGGGAAAAACAGGGCTGTTATTGTATTATTATTAATATTATTTATTTGATAAATATTTATTAAGCAGTAAAAACAATAAGCAAGGTCCTTGACTGAATTTTATTCATCTTTATACTGCCCAGAACAGAGTCTAAGATTTTTTTATTCATTGATCCATTATATATTTATTGAGCTCCTGCTACTTACAAAAGCTCTGTGCCAGACACCAGGAAAAGACATTTAGTCCCTAATACCAAGAAGCTCTCCAGGCTAGAGTGATTCTTAGGAAGCAGGGTGCTGGTTTCAGAATCACCTGGGCAGCAACCCTCCCATCTCCCTCTAGGTGCAAAAGCTCTCCAGGGGATTCTGGTATCCAGGTGGGTGCTGGTAGGCTGGATATTGGATAGATCGATGCTATTTGAATGGGTGAATGATGGCTAGTTGGATCCATAATCAGTGGATGAATGGAAGGATGGATCTGTACTCTGTGAATAAATAGATAGATGGGAAGGATAGATGTTTGAACAGATGCATATATTGAAGGACAATTGGATGGCTGAATGGACACCGAACGGGTAGATAGAGGAATTAATGGATGTTGGATGGATGGATGGATGGATGGATGGATGGATGGATGGATGGACAGACAGACATTGTCTAATAGATGGATACTATATGGATAGATAGGTGACTGAATGGACACTAAATGAATGGATAGATTGGTTGGATGAATGCTTGGTGAATGGACGAGCAGATTGATGGACACTGGACAGAAGTTGAGTGCTGGGTGCTAGATGCTGAGTAAATGAATGCTGAATGGTGACCTCTTGATAATTTCCTTATCGTTGGTCTTGACTTTCCCGGCAGCATCCAAATCTAAACAGCCAATTCACATGGTTTATGTCCCCTCCCACCTCTACCACATACTTTTTGAACTCTTCAAGGTAAGGAGGCTGGGGGATGGTCCTTTGTAGGGGGTGGGGGTGGTTAGGGCTAGGCTTCTCTCACTCATCT